TTGTTTTATTAATAAAAGTTGTTTAAATATTATTATTTATAATATTAAAATTTGTTTAGTTTATTTATATAAGTAGGGGAGAGTGTTGTACCTTGGCACTATTTTCACAAAAAAAATTCTGGTACTTTCAATTTTGAATATTAAGTGTTCATTTTTACTATTCATTTAGATAATACACATAAGCATATGGTAATTTTATAGTTATTACTTATATCAATTATTATAGTTACTAAATATATTTATTATTATTTATAGATAAACTACCTATAATTATTATACACAAMAATTAGAAAGGTATCTAGATAAAATAAATAAACTTCAGTCTCATGTTAACTCTTAAGTCTTTATTTTTTTATAATAAACAAAATGAAAACAAAATAAAATTAGGTACTTTAAAGGGGAGTATTTTCATTCGCCATTTTGGTTCCAGTTCATTTTATCTTTTTCAGTTATCACTATCAGGCTGTAGCATTCGGAATTTATGTGTTTCAACTTTTAAATTTTAAAATGTCCATACTTAATGAGTATTCACTATAATTTAATTTTTTATAGTGGTTGATTCCTTGACCCTTGTAGTAACAGTGAATATTGAACTATAATTGTTTGATGCAAGATATTTTGCTTTAACTGTGTGTACAAACAGCTTATAAAACTGTATGTAAAATACCTATCTATTTGATTCTCAGTGACTGATTTTTTCTTGTCCTTTAGTGTTTTTAAAGTTGTTTTTGAGGTATATAACTCGAYAAATACTTAAGTCAAATTAATTTTTATTCCCCTTGAAATTTGAGTAATTGACACTCGATTGTATAGGGTCAGTCTAATTTACTGAACAGCTGAATTACTGATTTACTGAATTGTACATATCAACTATATTGTTACCTATATTTAGACAATTGAAAGTTTGAAACTACCAAATTACTGACAGCCAAAATAAATGGTAGGTATTCTTTTAAAAAATATTATTTCATCAATTTGTTGCCACAATTTTTGTAAGTACTTCAAATCTTGATTTTCCTGTCGCAAGGATGTTGCGTCTTCTTGCTTCTGTTAAATAAAAATTATAAAATTAGTAAAGTTTTCAAATAAAGAACAAAACAAAATAAGTAAGCAATATTTGAATACATTATATTTAAAATAAAAATTTAATCATTATGAAATTAAAACAACATAATACTATATTATGTATCCAATTTCTTAAATCAATATTTTAATTAGTAAAATTTATATGATAACCAATATTTTAACCACTAATTTAAATATAATACCTATAAATTGTGTATACAATTATTGTTATTTTTTATAATAATTGTAATTTATTACTTTAAAAATATATATTTAATTACCTCAATCTGTGGAACATGTACATCTTGAGAAAATGGAAGATTGGGCGATTCCACTATTTGTGATTGAATGTTGACATCTTTAATAGAATTCTGAAATGAAAAAAACCAACTGTCAAATTAAAATGTATTATATTAATTTCAATAATATTGGATGACAAAAAAAAAATTCTATCTTTTGCTGCTTATTATCTAAAGGTAAATTGTCCTTCAAAAGATTGAGCCTACCTATCTGTAAAGTTTTAAATTTATCCAGTGCTTGAAGAGAAAGAATCTAATTATTTAAATAAATACAGATATAAAATAACTAATTTTTGTACAACATAAAAATTAAGATAATATTTAAATATATATAGGTATAACATAATAATAGGTTAGTATGACCGTTATAAAAWTATTATTGCAATAAAACACAAGTACACAAGTTGTATACCTATATGTATTGAATATTTTAAAACTATTGGAATTGTGAGTATTAAAGTTATAGGTATTTACCTCAAACAAAATTGAATGAGCTTTGTTGTCCAAATACTGTTAGTTACAAATATAGTATGACATTGGTGTTAGCCTAAAAGCTGGTATTAAAGTTATATGTAACATGGTATATCAATGCATATTTTCATATTAGGTGCACAATTAATGTTTTCTTGTACATAATAATTTCAAGATTCATATTTTTAATTATTTATATAATTAAACCTTAAGAAATAAAATAGGTTTATAGAAAATTAATTTGAGTATTGATATTAAAATGGTTTCAAGATCCTGAAAGTGAAATGTAAGTTAATTTTTTTAGCTTGATATTTTAAATAGGTTTGATTTACATAATATATAGAACAATTTTTTAAGTATATTATTGATGTGATTTTTTAAAGCTAATATTAATGCACAATGTCTTTATTTAAAGAATAAATTAATAGGTATCTAACCTTATACAATGATTTTCGTGGAGGTAGATCAAACATTGGTAGTGGATTATTTACATCGAATATGATTGGTATAGCATTTGGTTTTAGTTTTCTCCAACTGTCCAAATGATGGCTTTCAAATTGAGAGTTCTCGAAATGTTTCTATAAAATAATTTAAGAAAATAACATGGTTTTTCATATTACATTAAAAAAAAAAAAACAAAGTACAATGTACCTCGCAAGGACGTGATGAACCAGTTGGTGACCATTTATCTCCGCGTCGCATATTTTGCACCCATTTTGCTCCACGGTTGTCCTTAGGAAATCTAAATAATTTAAATCTATTTTCCGACCTGTTACTGCAATTAACCGCACTATAACAAGGAATTTTAAAAAGTTGGAACCGACTTCTGAGCTGTAATATATTATAGGGAATTGATTGACAAAACGGTGATAAAATATGGACACAATGTGCAACCAAAGCGAATTAAAATTGAATTTGTAATCAATTAAATTAATTTCTTTGTCGATGTTTTTAATAATGTTACTAGTTTTCTTCCTGTATTTTATAAAATATCTATTAGTCCAAGGTACAAGTGGTCTCCCCTATGTCATCTTACCCCAGCACATGGGTGAGATGATGAATTTTAGTTTTTTTTTAATTAAAAAAAAAAAATTAGCTTAAAGACAAATATTGCACTGATATTTTTTTATAATTGTTCCACAAGTTAAATTTTAAATTGGTGAAGAATTTGGACTAGTATCATAAAAATTAGCCATTTAAGAGTAATTCAAACCTTACATTCGTCAACTTGCCCTGGTCACCTCTAGCATGTAATATGCTGAGTCATTTTAATCTTAATAAATTTAAAAAAAATTTAATTTGACTTTCTGGAGGTATTTTTATTTGATAAAAGTAGACAAACTCTTGAAGAAWCTTGTATCGAATTTTCAAAATTAAGTTATGAAAAAATAAACTTTTTATGAATTTTAAACTCAAAATAAATTGTAAATTTTCGTGATTTTTACGTATTTTGTCAAAATTCCTACATTCAATGTGCTTATTATAGAAGATTGTGATTATGAATTTTTAATATTTTTTTGTTTCCATTTTATCGATATATTAGGAGCCTTGTATTAATTTGATATGCTTTTTACCCAACGAATAAAATTTTATTGAAAATTTTAAATGTCTATAAATAACTTAAAAATATTCTAAATATTTTGAAAATTTTATAAAGCATAGAAAATTCTAATATAAACACTTAAAATGTGAAAATTACATGTATCTGAGGTTATTTGTTTAAGAGTTACACCAATATCTAAAATCAATTTTTTCAAAATTTAATTTGTCTAAAAATTGCTTTATTTTTTTTTTTTGGTTTTCAAAATTGCTTTTGAAAACTACTTGGAATTTAAGSTCTCCAATGCACCAACAAGATTCTTTTTCCAACTGTTAAAACTACTGATGTTGAAAATCGAAGCATTATTTCGACAATATATCATATACACAGGTCACACATACACAAAAAAAATTAAAATAAAAAAACACATCACTTCAGTGTAAAATTTAAAAGTTCGTGCCTCCAATTTTAATGTTAGGTATGTGACAWACCTCCCTTTTTTATTAATTATGAATAAAAATAATTTCTATCCAAATGTGTTTCAATGACAGATTAATACCAAATGGAGGAATACAAGAGGATATTGTTGTTAAAAGTATTAATCAAGACATTAAATAATACAGGGTAGTGAGTATAACTTAACTTAGGTACTTAAATTGAAATAAAATGTTAATATATAACGTTATATAGGTATATTGGAAGGCTTGGTGAACCCCCAAATTTGAATACTATCAGATTAAACTGGTGACTGGTCACCATAATAATAATTTTACATTGCAAAAATTCTTTTATACAGTGCAAAAATAAGATTCATTGCATATTCATTAAATGTTGTTAAAATCTTGCTAAATATACTAAATTGTAAAAAAAACCTCTAAATATGCAAAATTAAACTTCAAATACTTAACGTATATTATGTAATACATACAAATACACGTGTTTAAAAAATGGTTTGTTTAAAAAAAAAGCTTTCAATATAATAAAATAAGCTTCAATATAATGTAATATATTGTCTGATATAATATATAAAATTTGAATTAAGTATTTCTTTTTTTGGATGCCATGCTTTCTCCTCGTGCCTATATAACAAAAAAAAAAACACATATTATATCTATTATTAATACTGAATAAAATACTTAGTGAAAAACATTAAATGTAAATTAAAACTTAGAAATGTTTTTATTTTAGAAAAATCATCAGTTTTTCCTAACCAAAGTGTAAATAATCAGTGATCAAATAAGAATGGGGGTGGTGGTATGCAGGAGTACATAGCTCCTCTAATTTTTCTTATATTAATGGGACTAATGCCCAAACCCACACAATTTATATTAAAATTTGAAGTGGATTTAAATTGTTATCAATGATGTACTTAATAATGAATTTAATAAAATATACCTAAAGAWTTTTGCATCTTTTTAGTGTCATAACTAGGGCTGTGAATTTAATGCACTTAAACCTTAAAAAATACACTTAAAATCCAAAAAAAAACAATAAAATATACATTTAAAATGGTTTTGAATTTAATTTTTATATTTATATTGTTTTGTTATTAGTATTAGTATATTATATGCATACAAATTTATTTATTTAATAAAAAAAAAAATATTAAAAAGTTGATTTAATTTGAACTTATCCAGCAATTATTAATGCCTTATTTTATTGAACTGTTATCTTAGCTAAACCATATAGCTTGTTGAAAACTTGAATACATTTAAAAGGGCATATTTAATTTTAAAGATAATTACACTTGCATTGTAAGATATATAATCATTTCTTAGTAATGTTTTTTATATTGAATTAACTTAAAACAAGCATAGAATAAGAAAAATGTCTACATACCATTTTATCAAAAGTGTCTATAACAAATTGGAGTTTTGCTGCTGAGCGTACATCCCTGCGCCAGTCATAAACTTTTCGAATACAATTAACACAGAGTTTTCTTGATTTATTCTCATCAGATGGTATTATCTAAAAATATAAAATTAATATTTCTATCAGTGGTAGATTAGTTAAACATTTTGGCAAAGGAAATTACTCAATATATTATAAATTATAATAATTAATAATAGGTAATTTTCGATTTATGAAGGAGGGTTATTGTCTTATTTATAATTTAATATAATAAACGTTTAACATAAATAAGAGTATATGAATTGTTTTTATGACCACCGAAATTATCAACAATAGATTTTTTCTATCAGAAAAGATGATGAAATAGAAAATCAAATCTTCTTAAAGTGATGACAGTCAATAAATAATTATTATAAAATTAATACATTCATCACTCCACTCAGAACATAAAACATTAAAAAATATTTTATAAATATGTTGACGGATTAATGAACTCATAATATCATGTACCTACTATATTATATTGACAACACTTAATACAGCCGGAATGGCAAAATGACTTCCAAAATCGTGATATGTGTATTTGGCAACAAACGATTTGGACATGCAGATAAATATCAAATAATTTTACAATCCAAGAACATCAGCCCAGAGATTTAAAACTACGATCACCCTACCGGGAACTTTCCCGATATCTCATTGGGCCAATTTGCCACTGATTATTATGAATTATTATTTATCAAATTGGTAATTCAATTGTTTGCACTTAAACATACTGTAAAACCCAAAGTATAACACAACGATGCTTGTTGTTTCACTTAACCTTCTTTAACTTTTTCAATGCCCCAGGTGTACTATTATGATCCAATATTTCACAATATTATCTTTTGCTATACATTGATAGGAAACCTTAGCTTGTATTATTTTAAAATAAAATAATTAGATTATATACCTAGATCTCAAAAATTAAAAACTAAAAATATTTATCTTATTTCATATATAATAGAGGGAAAAGCAACGAAAATTGCACTTTTTGCTACCTTACATAGTTATTTTATAAATATTTAACTAGAAGATAATTTTCAAATTTTAATTACCTGACTATTTAACATTTGTACTTCAAACTTAAATCAAATTAAAAAAATCGTGCCTCATATTATGTACTTTTAATATTCATAAATATTATATATTATAAAAAACCTATGATGAAACATTGTATTAAATTTTAAAATTTTTGAAGTGAGTAATTTATTGATTATAATTGAAACTAAAAACTAAAAAAAAACTTGAGAAATTTCTCATGCTTACAAATGGCTGTATCAAAATATTTTGAAAATTTAATTTTGTTAGGAAAATAGCCATATCCCAATTTTGTCAAAATCTTAAGTATCTACATTTATATTTTTGAGTTACTACAAAAATTATCAAAATAATTGTATGAACCAGAAAATATGCCAAAGCAAAAAATGTTTACTGCCCAAAAAGGTAAAGACAGACATAAAAAAACATACATAATTGTAAAATCAATACATGCAATCATCACTCCACTCAAAAAAAGAAAATAATTAATATATTTTTGATATACCTAAATATCTATATACAAGTATATAAGTATATAAGTTTATATAATTGACTAATTGTAGCAAATTGACTGTGATTTACACCCTTAAAAAGCATAATTCAAAGAATATGTTATGCCTACTAATTTCTTCTTCACCTTATGACCTTTWGTGTGATTATATATTTAAATTTTAAACTTAAACAGAATAAAATAATATATTATAATATTTAATAATGTCTAATTTTTATAAATGGTCTAATAACAAAAAGACTGTATACAAATTATAAGTTACAATTAATTTAAAATAATAAATGAAGGTAATATGTATTAAAATATGAGTTTTAAAGAAGAAAATCAAATATTTTGGTATTACATTACTCAAAAAAGTAGAGTAGATATAGCATTTAATTTACAATGATCAAATTCGAATTTTGTATAATAAATGTTTTATTCATTAAAATTATTTAACATTTAATTAGAATTGTATTGAACTTTTAATAATTGGATGAATATAAAACATACATTTTTAGTGCTTATCTCTGATATCTTGAGTACCTATAAGATTTTACCAGTTAACTCATGTATATTATTCTGTATACCACACATAGCATATTTTAACATACAAAGTACGGGGCAATAGTGCCCCCCAGTGATATTTTAATGCTACCCACTGGTGGGTGATCGTGCCACACTGCCACTGACTAATACATTCTCATAACGACCGATAGGTACCAATGTCAATTATTATGTATATAATATATGTATAAAGAACATAAAACTATTTTAAGCTTTCGACTCTTGTATAGTTTATCTCATACTATATAATAAACAATAATAATATTTTATTGAATGTAGAACATGTCACATGCTCACAACTATTTTGTCGGAATTGTTTATATTATATACCTATTGATAATATAAATTATACGAATAGATATAGTTGTACTGATGTAGTACGAAAATAGTACATGTAATTTTATCGATGCTATCAATTTCTTCGGAAGTCATCGATCGTCACCGTAAATTGAAGGTTGGGTGGGAATAAGGTGCTATATTACAACATTTCTAATTTTCTACATATTTTGAATTTTTGTCCTATCATCAGGAATGAAAGACAGGCGAGGCGACCATACACTGTATAGGTAAATTTTATACTACTTTTATACAATTGTTTAGAAGTATTCATACTTCATAGCATTGTTCTGTGATTGAAATATCAAATACTTATACTCGTCCAGGGCCGGATTGGATAGTCTCGGCCCTTCGAGAAATATTTTTCAATCGGTCCGTAATTTGCTATAAAAGCCCATATTGGACGAATTTTAGTATTAATAAATAATAATGATCTTATCCTGTTTGTTGATTGTATACCTAGTGTATACTATTATAATATAGCTGTCATTAAAATGCTAAGTTTCTGGAATCTAAAGAGAGAAGAAGGAAACTACCTGACCCAGAGCTATACCAGAATCAAGAATTTATACAACAATTTTTTTCCATAGATTCAAACATATAATTTTAAATTTTAACACATATTTTTTTAAATACAGATACTGATAGAAATGTATATACTCTGTTCTACTTATTTTATCAAAGTTTTATTATTGAAAAATCGGTTATTTTGATATAATAATAATATCTCAAATTCTCAATAAATAAACCTATATACTACTTGTAGATGTATTTTTCAGTAGAGTACAGTTAATAAACCTATATCAAAATTGTTGAGATAGGAGAGTTGATTTTCTTTCTATGTTCCTCTGGTAGACTATTTTATTGAAGTGCCACCCAGTGAAAATTACTTAAAATATGCTCTGATACCACACATTATAACTGTGTTATTTTAAAACAATTATTTTTATGGAAAAGACAAGATAGTTAAGTATGAACCAAGATAATATGTGAGGGTAGTCCAGTCTAATATGGAACAAGAAATTGATGGTCCACCCTGAACTTGTTGGAGAATTATTGAAAATATAGTTTTTCTATAGGGATTTGCATAAATTTAATTACAATTATAATAAAGACCAAAGATAAAAATGTAATATATTTACACTGTACAGGACTACAGGAATTAGTCGCCTGGATAATACAAGTTACCTAGAAGGCACCTTAGCCTCCTATAGTTTTCCCTTCTATGGTATGTACATAAGTAAACTGGGCCCTTAATATGAAAATCATTTCCAATCCATATTATCTTAATTCATGAATATAAGTCAATTGGCCCAACAAAACWTTGACACTATTGTATGAATTTGTATGAATTTTCAGTGTTGACTAATAACAATAGTTCCTAACTTACAAATATGTTTGTTGAAATAAACTTTACACATTAAAACGTATTAGGTAGAAATATATAAATTATTTTGTTTTTATTATGGAAAATTTTTAGTATCACTATTAAAAAAGTTTATTCAGATATCTTAAAGTTCCAGGGATCTATTTTTCTTATAACAAAGTCAAGTGAAGGAATCAACATTGTATAATCCAACAAAATGTTTGTGATACAGGTGAATATTTTTACTTACTTGAATGTTGAAATATTTGTTAATATCCTTTATCCTCACTGCAGACATATTTCCAACTTGTAAAATATCAATAAGATCGTCTTCAGAAAGACAGATGCGGCAAATTTCTAGATACCTTACAAAAATTGCCATATTTGGTGAATTTGAATTTTAGTGGTCGAAACAAAACGAATGAATCAATAATTAATACAAAATGTCAATAATAATACAGTTACAAATGAACACAAAATATGATGTTTACTCAAAAAAAAAA